TTTAAGCTCAAGGAAATGACAGGGACTGGAACAATGATTTAGTAGGTTCTGCATGTCAGGGACTTACTCTTTGGAATGAATACGAAGGGGAAAATACCAGGAAAAGGACAGGTGAAAAATCAGTTTAAGCCAGTTCCAAAATTTTTTTCATGGCTATGGAATCCTTTTTTCAGAATATTTTTCAGAGACCCAACATGAAAAAGAGAGAAAATAGGATCTGTTTTGCATGTGGGAGAGTAATGGGACTCAGCCTTTGGCTACCGACCACATGTCTCCCAATCCCTGGCAAGTCTTAGAGCCTCAGACCTTCCACAAACCCAGCTGGAACCTTGCTGATTTACTTTGTGAAAGAGAACAAAGATTGTGTTAATACCTTTATCCCCTCCTAAGTTAAATTTTCCCCCCCTGCCAAGTTAAATTTTACTTACAGTATACCATATACTAGGCATGTTGCTGAGAAAACAGTTTATATATACACAGTATTCCCCTTGATCCCATGAAATGAGTCTTGTTACACCTGTTGTCAAGTTGAGGAAACTGAGGCTCAGGGTGGCTAGATCATGTGCCCAAAGTTTACATAATTACTAAGTGGCAAATCTTGGCTTCAAATTCAAAGCTGGCACCAAGGCTTCTGCTTTTAACCAGCAAATTCTCCTAGTTCACCCTCTTTGACAGATTTCTTCAATTCTCATCGGAACTCAAGCATTTCAAGGAATGTTTACAGAAAGGAGACAGGGAGGAGAAGGAGGAAGAAAGAGAAATGTGGAGGAGGCAGAGGCAGAGGGAGAGTAGGACTTAAGACTAGTGACAAAGAGGAAATTAGTGTAAAATGATAAAAACCCAGGGAAACAGCTGCTAAGAAATGAAACTCTATGGAAAATCCAAAGAAAGATAATACTAGGAGGAGAGAGAGAAAGAAGAGGTGGGTTTCAGCTGTAAGTTCACTGCTTACTAGTGGCAGAAATGCCAAGATTTCAGCCAGGGCCAGACCCCCTTGGTTTCTATTGTGATCAGACTGACTTAGTCATTGAAAGTGGGGATAATGTTCACCAGCAGATCAGGAGACTGGCCCAGGGCACAGGAATCTCTCCAATGGATCAGCCAACTGGAGCTGGACAGTCTTTTTGGGCACCCAACTCATTAGGCCAAATAGTGCCCAGCCCCTAGGTCATGGCTTTCCATGATGTCAGTCATGTTGCCCCTGTTGACTGAGGTTTTGGCTAGGTTGCTGAGATGACTGGCTAGGTTGGGCTCCATGTGCCAATAGTGAGCTGACCCAGGGGACAACTTAAAAGACAGGAATCTGTGAGATGTATTGTTCTTCAAAAGAATAAAGCAAGGGAAAGAAACCAGTGAGAAACCTCTTGACTTGTTTGTTGTGACTGGTCTCTGCCTTTGGCTGGTTTACTTGTGTATAATCAGTGTTGTATTCCAGTTGTATTGACACTAGTTGTATTGACACCATATAGTTGTATTGACACCATACCAGTTGTATTGACAACATACAGCACCCAGATTTTGGGTAGAGTTGGCAGCATAACTCCAACCATTGTTAGGATGTGTCCGGGTAACTGGGTGACAGATGTAGTGGAAGTGGCTGCTTGAGTGGTAAGGGGCAGATCACTTCCTGATTTTTTGCCTCCGTTCACCCCTCTGAAGCACCCTGATCATACTTGTGATGTGGAGTCACACACCAGGAGTGTTGGAAAGCATCTTGCGGCTTCTGGGAAGGAAAGGAAAGAAACATTCAATGAGGACATGCTGTATCCCAGGCAACTCACCTGACTTCTCTGATTAGACTTTTAAGGATAGGCAGTATTCAGTTCAGTTGCTCAGTAGTGTCTGACTCTTTGCGACCCCATGGACTGCAGCACGCCAGGCTTCCCTGTCCATCACCAGCTCCCGGACCTTGCTCAAACTCATGTCCATTGAGTCGGTGATGTCATCCAGCCATCTCATCCTCTGTTGTCCCCTTCTCCTCCTATCTTCAGTCTTTCACAGCATCAGGGTCTTTTCCAATGAGTCAGTTCTTTGTATCAGGTGGCCAAAGTATTGGAGCTTCAGCTACATTAGGCAGTATTAGCTCCATTTTATAAGAAATATTCAGGTTTCTGAGATTTGAAGAGATAATGTTGTTTGTCCAGTTCTTTCACTCCTTTATCTATCCCCTTCTCCTTTAGGTGCCTATATCCTTATAGATGCTTAGCTCTAACCAGAGGGCCTCAGGATAGGGCCCAAAGAGCTGGATTCAGTCCCATCACTTCATGACAAATAGATGGGGAAACAATGGAAACAGTGAGAGACTTTGTTTTTTGGGGCTCCAAAATCACTGCAGATGGTGACTGCAGCCATGAAATTAAGATGCTTGCTTCTTAGAAGAAAAGCTATGACCAACCTAGACAGCATATTAAAAAGCAGAGACATTACTTTGCCAACAAAGGTCCGTCTAGTCAAAGCTATGGTTTTTCCAGTAGTCATGTATGAATGTGAGAGTTGGACTATAAAGAAAGCTGAGCGCGGAAGAACGGATGCTTTTGAACTGTGGTGTTAGTGAAGACTCTTGAGAGTCCCTTGGACTGCAAGGAGATCAAACCAATCAATCCTAAAGGAAATCAGTCCTGAATATTCATTGGAAGGACTGATGCTGAAGCTGAAACTCCAATACTTTGGCCACCTGATGTAAAGAACTGATTCATTGGAAAAGACCCTGATGCTGGGAAAGATTGAAGGTGGGTAGAGAAGGGGATGACATAGGATGAGATGGTTGGATGGCATCACCGACTCGATGGACATGAGTTTGAGCAAGCTCTGAGAGCTGGTGATGGACAGTGAAGCCTGGTGTGCTGCAGTCCGTGGGGTCGCAGAGTCAAACATGACTGAGCAACTGAATCAAACTGACTGAGTCCTGGCAGGGCCACTCTTTGGGCCAAGCAGATAACATGGCAATGGCAGGCAGTCAGGAAAAGGATAACAGGGAGAGGAGAGCTATAAATGAAAAGTACGTATAAAGGCCTTCAGATGTGAGGAAAACACCCCATGACACTGGCGAACAGAATAAAGCTAGAGCCTTTGGGTTTATGGTGTCCTAATTAGATAATCTCTTAGGTCCTTTTGGGTTCCAATTTATATTTATTTATTTACTTTTTGCCTCTGATCAAAACTAACATATCCTTTTTGTATTCTCTTCAATCTCTACTTTCTTTTTTTTTGGCCTTTGTTATTTTTTTTTTTCATTTATTTTTATTAGTTGTAGGCTAATTACTTTACAATATTGTAGTGGTTTTTGTTATACATTGACATGAATCAGCCATGGATTTACGTGTATTCCCCATGGTAGTGGCAATGAGCTAATCAGATAAGCTAACCTCTACTCTGGGCAGATTAGCTAATGGGCAACTCCTCCCATGACTTAATGCTGTAGTTGGATTAAAGTACATTCCTTCTGATCTTGACCTGGGGGATTGACAAATGATGGGGATTCACACTTCCGTACCCAGTGTCCCTGCAATTACACCCTGGGGACAGCACCCAGCTTAGGGCTGGGCAGGAACTAACATGTGACCTGGACTTGTTTCCCTGCAATTGTGGCATCAATAAGATGGCCAGAGTCTAATGACTGGACTAAAAACTTTGGTTTCTGTATTATGTGGTGGCCCCACAGGAGGTGGGAGATGGCAGGGGTGGGGAAACTATGTTAAAGTCATTTTCTCCTGGTTTTATTGAGAAATAATTGACATACATCTTTGTGTAAGTTTAAGGTAACCAGCATGATGGTTCAATTTACATAATTGTAAAATGATTACCATAGTAGGTTCAGCTAACATCTATCTTCTCATATAGATACAAAAAAAATGAAAATAAGAAAAGAGTAAAGGAAAAAAATTATTCTTATGATGAAATTAGGATTTATCTCTTAACAACTTTTTAATACTGTATACACTTGAGTGTAGAAAACAGTGTAATGAATATAGAATGAGGGACCTAGAAGGAATTTTCCGTAATTGTGAAAGCAGAAGCCCTAGAAAAATGAATACACGCACTATCTCAGGTTTTTATAATGCTTTACTGTCTACAAAAGGACTTTCCTGTTCATCATTATTTTTGACCTTCTTACCAACTCCCCATATGGAAGCAGAGGTAGACAGTATTATTTCCACTGTACAGATGAGGAAACCAAGGTTCCCAGAGGTTGACTTTCCCAACACCCAGTGCACTCATTGTCTCAGAGGCATGGCATAGCAAGCCTTATATGTCACTGGCATCAACTGTCTTGTGGTTGGATTTCAGATGTGGTGAGCAGAGGGTGGAGATGTAAGATAATTCCTCAATTTGCAATACTTGGAGAGGCTGGCTATTTTGCATAGGCTGACAGCCAGCTCTGGTTCAGGTACTCTGCTGACTTCACTTTCCAGGTTTAAATTGGCTCCTGGCTCTGGCTTTCCCAGGTGTGGAAATGGCACCACCACTGCTAGAAGCAGAGGAGCAGGTGGAGCGCTTGGTACTCAGCCAGCCTTGCCCTCCCACATCTGAGCAGGCTGGGTCAATTCTTCCCAGTGTTGGTACTTCACACATTAGAGCCAACTTCTCTCCACACGTTTCTTAACCCTTCCCTTAATTCTGTGCCATGAAATTGGAAATGTTTGTTTCCCAGCTTCCCATCCTTTGCCTGCAGGGAGGGTGAATAAGATGGCGAGAAAGTTAGAATTGTTTGAAGTCAATACAGATGGTGTGCAGGCAAAAGGGACTTTGAATTCACCCTTGAGGACCACACAGCTCAGTGGGATGGTTGGTCATATACATAGCAAAATAAGTGAGTTAGGAATTGCATTTGGCTTCAAGTAACAAAGAATCAAGGCAACAGTGATTTAAACAAGACTTATTTTTTCTTCCCAACTTCCTTGAAGTTGGGAGCTGGGCAACCCAAGGCTGGTCTGGTTGCTTTGTGGTGTCACCAGGATCACAGATTCCTTCTTTTCTTCTGATTTATTTTTTCCCTGTAGGATTGCTTCATGGTCAAAAGATGGCTGTTGGAGATCCAGTCTTCATGTCTCAAACAGGAAGAAGAAGAAAGGGCCAAATGCAAATAGATATGTAATAGTAGGGTATACCCTCTTTGAATCAGTTTCCCAGAAGTGATACACCAAGGTATTGACTTATGTATCTTTGGCTACACCATCTGCAGAGGTGACTGGGAGAGGTTTTATTTATTTTATTTTTTTAACTTAAATTGAACAATTTTTATTTCTGCCAATACACTCTTTGATATTATGAAAAAGGAGGAGAAGGCGTGCTGGATATATCACTAGTGGCCTCAACTCATCTGGGCAATTTCAATGCATGATAGTACAGTCCATGCATTCTCCTTAATGTGTGGTTTAGCTAAATAATTAAAACACTCTGGGCCCTAGTTTTCTCACCTTCAAAATGGACATAATAACACTTATCTGGTAGTGAATAAATTTTATAGGACTTATGAAAGTTCGATGAGTATGTATGTCAGTGTCTTAGAGCTATGGGAGGTATACTGTAAGTGCCCCATAAATGTTAGTTATAATGGCAAACACAGCAGATGGTGATGATCCAGACCCAGAACTCAGACTGCTTGGCTTATAACCTACTTGCAGTACTTTCTGCTCAGCTGTGGGTGCTGAGTATATTGCAGGTACTTCAAGAACGTTACTCATTGTGATTGGAAGCATGGAGAAGGCAAGCGTAAGACAGTGAGGTGCAGTTAGGGAAGGCCTCCTGGGCCAATGGTATCTGGGTTGTGTTCGTGGGTTTAAAGTGGGGGGCCAGTGAAGAAGGTGGGGAGGGTGTCATAAGCAGAGCACATGCAGGTATGGAAGCTCATGGTGTGTGTTCAGAGCCCATGGTGAGAAGCTTCTGGTGAGTCTGGTCCCCAAGGTCAAGGTAGGAAAGAGGACAGGCTGAGGTGGAGAGGAAGGCGGTGTCTGGGACTTGGAGGGCCTGTGTGCCACGATGAGGAGACGACAGCCCAGAGCCCCGTCTGATGGGGCTGGTTTCAGAGGGTGGATGCAATCACATTCTCAGACCAGGAATTAACTGATATTAATGATGCATGGATTATTGGCATCTGTCAACTGCTACCTGTTAACCAAAGGCCCAAGGCTCAAACTCTGCCAGGCTCGTCTGGGAAGAGGCCATGAACCATACAGTGATGGCCATTTTGGCACAGAAGGGAATGCTAGTTAGCTGGAGGCTGATTTTATGACTGGAAGAAGGGAAGGCTGTTGTAGGTTTGCACAGAGATAGAAGAGCAAGTTCCTTCTAGGTTTCTATAGGGCTCCATTCCCCATTAGTCGATGAGAACAGTTTGGTTTATCAGGTTCCCCTGGAAACTAAGGTGTTAGGGCAGCTGAAGAGGTAAGTTCTGAGCTGAAAGGAGGAGGAGGTGCTAGAGACACAGGGGTCCATTGTAGTTAAGGGACCATGGGGCAGCAAAGGGCAGCTGCAGGGAGGCCAAGGAGAAAGAGCATTTGACCCAAGTTCAAAGTCTTGGGGCCAGTCTCATCTCCAGCCCCAAGTTCCCAGAAACTATGTACAGTGTTCTGTAAAACATAGATGATAACACTTGCTTGACTGGCCTAACTAGGCTGTTTGATCAAATGAGAAAATATATGTCTGCAAAGGCTCTTTGTGTGGGGCACCTTAATAAGAATCCAACCTCCACTCCAGTCTCCCAGGCCTTCTGATGGATTATAGAACACACTGGCCTCTTTCCCACTTTTGTCTGTGTGCTCCTTTTTCTGCCTAGAACACTATTCTGTCAGTTCTTTCTATAGTTCATCTAAGCTTATATGCCACTTCCTCAGAAAGGCCTTCCCTGACCTACTGAAAGCATGTACCCCGCTCTGAGCCACTGCTGCCCAAGATAGCTCATGGTTAAGGACCCAGGCTCTGAAGCAAGTCTCTAGGGTTCAAGTTCAGTTCTGACATGTACCAGCTGTGTGACCCGGTGTTTCTGTTTCCACATCTATGAGATGAAGATCATATTAATATTTATCTCACAAAGTGGTACAGACAAAGATGACTTCAAGAGATGTCAACTATTATTACTGTTCATCAGAGCACTATATTTCCTTTTGAGAACTAACCATGTCTATAATTAATTTATCTGTATGTATGTTTATTATCCAACCCTCATTTTTTTCCATAATGGGCTCTCCATGAGGGCAGTGATCATGTCTTTCTTATCCATTCTTATATACCACATGGATAGCTCAGTGCCTGGAACCCAGAAGATGCTCCAGAAATAGTTGGATGAGGAATGTACTGAAATGAGCATTTCCTGGAACCAAGCCATGGGGTGACCCAGGCAGTCCTGGGACCAGCCAAGGAGCTGGTCAGATGGCCCTGCTTTGCATTTCATTCTCCCCTTGGTAGGCTTTCACTTATGTAATGGAACAGCAGTGAAACCCCACGATACCTAAGTGCTTCCCCTCTAGCCAGCCCATATATGACCACAAAAAGGGGGAAGAAAAAATAAGAGAAAAAAAAGAGCTCCAAACCACATGCTTCTTGGGACAGAAAAATGAGCTCTCTTCTTTCCCAGAGTCATGTGAGGGCACAGTGACAGACTTGGGCATGTTTTGCTGAGCCTCAGAGCAACCAAGTGGTGAGGAATAAAGGGCCCCAGTCTGAGTGTCAGCAGTTGAGACTTTTCCACCTCTTCCCCTAATTTGCTGTGCAACCTTCATTGGGTCACTTTCCCTCTCTGGGTCTCATAAGTGTCCTCATCTGCAAATTGAGAGGATTGGAATAAATAATTGAGGTAGATTGGGCATGCAGTCCTGGTTTTGCCTACAGATGTAGTGTAGTTATCAACAATAACCCCTTTCATTCTCTAAGTGAGCTGTGACCTGATGACATTAGTGGCTCAGTCCTGTCCGACTCTTTGTGACCCCATGGACTGTAACCCTCCAGGCTCCTCTGTTCATGGAATTTTCCAGGCAAGAATACTGGAGTGGGTTGCTGTTTTCTTCTCCAGGTGATCTTCCCAACCCAGGAATTGAACCTGGGTCTCCTGCATTGCATGCAGATTCCTTACTGTATGGGCTACCAGGGAAGCCCCAAGTGAGCTGTACTAGGTGATAGATTATCAGATCTGTTTGATTCAGGTCACTGTTTCCATTTTTTTGGATATGATAAATAGTACTGCAACGAAGTTCCTCTATTCAACAAGTATTTGGTACTTCCTTTATTCAACAAATATTTGATAAGCATCTATTATATGCCAGGTATGGCTTTATGCTCTGGGGATACTGGAAGAATAAGACAGATAAGATATCTGTATGGAAAATACATTCTTGTGAGGGAGATAGATAATAAACTAGAAAACAACAACAACAAAACAAATTTTAGATCATTTGGAAGAAAGCAAATGAGAACAATGTGCCAGATGGTGCTAGGGGGTGCTACTTTGTAAAGTGTGGTGAGGGGAGGACTCTTTGAAGAGGTCACATTAGAGCTGAGACCTGAATGATAGGAAGGAGCCAGTTATACAAAATCCCAAGGAGAATGTGCAGCAAATGCAAAGGCCCTGAGGTAGGAAGTGTTTATGTTTGAAGAACAGAAACAGAGCCAGCATGGCTAAAGAGTAGCAAGTGGTTGGAAATCAGGTTAGAGTGAAGATAAGGGCCGGATCATATAGGGCCAAGGAGTTAGAGGTTTTTTTTGTTTTTTTTTTTTCCATTTATTTTTATTAGTTGGAGGCTAATTACTTTGCAATATTTTAGTGGTTTTTGTCGTACATTGATATGAATCAGCCATGGATTTACATGTATTCCCCGTCCCAATCCCCCCTCCCACCTCCCTCTCCATCCGATTCCTCTGGGTCTTCCCAGTGCACCAGGCCCGAGCACTTGTCTCATGCATCCAGCCTGAGTTTTCTTCTAAGTGCAGAATATCTGGTTGTATTTGAATCACTGAAAAATCATAAAATAAAACTAGCTCTGTGTAGAATGGACTGAGAGCATAAAACGTCACATATCTGGTTAGTTACAGCACAGAAAGTCATAACTTCACCCTAGGCTGTGTGGCACCCTGGGAAGAAAATAAACATCAGAGTCAGAGTTAATTGTGTTCCAATTCTAGCTCCTTTGGTCTATAACCAAAGGAAGTGAAAGTGGGGTCTTGAAAAGATATTTCTATATCCATGTTCATAGCAGCATTATTCACAATAGCCGTGAAATGGAAGCAACCCAAATGGATGAATGGATAAATAAAACGTGGTATATAAATACAATGGAATATTATTCAAACTTGGAAAGGCAGGGAATTCTTATACTTGTTACAATATGAGTGAACCTTAAGGACATTATGCTAAGTGCAATAAGCCAAAAACAAACAAACAAAAAATGCTTGTATAGCAGATATAATCTTGAAGGAGCCATATGTATAGGGAACTGTGAACCTGGTACATAGTTGGCATTCTGTAATGGAACAGGTGAATGAACAAAGTGGATGACACATGTAGCTACGAGTCGTAAAGCAATCTGCCTGTTCTAAAATATATGTGAGATTTTTTTAATCTGGTACCATAATAGTTGCTTCAGCAAGCAAACTAACTGAAAGCCTTACCAACAGGGTCTCATATTAGCATCTGTATTAGTTTTCTATTGCTAGAATAGCAAACTTCCACAAATATAATGGTTTAAACATCGATTTATTATCTTCCAGTTTTGTAGGTAAAACTTCTGATGTGTGTCTCAGCAGGGTAAAATCAAGGTATCAGCAGGGCTGTGTTCATTACTGGAGGTTCTAGGGAAGGATCTGTTTCCTTGCACACTTAAGTTGTTTGCAAAATTCAATTCCTTGTGGTTATAGGACTGAGATGCTGTTTCTTTGTTCGTTGTCGCTGAGGGCCATTCTCAGCTTCTAGAGGCCACTTACTTTCCTTGACTTGTGTCCACTTCTTCTGTCTTCAAAGTTAGCAACTCTTCTTCTTCCCTCTCATCTCTCTGACCCAGCAGAGAAAGGTTCTCCACCTCTGAGTGTTAGTCACTCAGTCATGTCTGACTCTTTGTGTGTCAGACTCTGTAGCCCGCCAGGCTCCTCTGTCTGTGGGATTCTCCAGGTAATACTGGAGTGGGTTGCCATTCCCTTCTCCAGGGGATCTTCCTGAC